CCACTGCCAACGAGCGCTGGTCACGCGTATTGATTTGTACTTCTTCGCTCACCAAATAGAGCATAACTGTAGTGAAACCCCCACAAAAGAACCTTTTTATAGATGAAACTCTTTTTTTAGTATTTAGTGTTTCAAGTGAGGGGTCATTAGTGCATTCAGCGCGGCTTTCCGCTTCGCCGACGTCCGTTCACACTATGTGGCGGCGGAATGTATGAACGGCCGCCGCGTTTACAGCTTCCCATCCAGGGACCTTTTCAGTTGTGTCCCTGCGCCCCCTCTGTTTTCCGCAAACCTTCAACTTTGCACATGCTGCGTGTACACCTAGAGAGTGCAACGAGGAATCACACAAGATAATGGTAGCTCGATGACAGTTTTACAGGGTCCTCTCCACACAGACCAACTGTATTCTGGGGGAAGGCTTGCAGGCGACTATGAGCAATGATGGGGACTTCTAAAGCGAAAATACCAAATCAGTGTTCCGCTATGAGTAGACGATGTGACTAGTAGGTGTGACTAGCTGCAAGGAGCCACAATGGCCTCCATAATTACTGCCTCATGTGTGCCTCTGCCTCTTTTGCGCAATCATAGGGATGTAATATTGCTTTGCGCGGTCTGCAATCATTTGTGACTCTATGGCAACAGACGTTCCTGCATCGAACTATGAGAGGAAAAGGCAACCCGCAAGAAACAACTAAACTACGAATACAAGCGGTCCATCGACAGATACCTGCCAGTCCTACAACGCAACGTAGTAACGTGCAGTGCGCTCGGGAATCAGTGTAACGCGGCGTCAGCTAACTCCTGAAATGAGCGAGGGGGAAAAGCGAACAAAGCACAACGCTGTTCCGGAGCAACATGACACAAATGGCATTGGATAAAACGTTCAACGTTCAAGAACAGCCTCTGCTACAGCTCATGGGACACTGTCCCCATCATACGCAGACTGTACAAGATCCTGGGTAGTCCATATCTAACACGCACTGTGCATGGAGCACGACAAAAATACCACAACTGTTATTCGCTTGCATTTGGCAGAGCTGCAATNCACGCACTGTGCATGGAGCACGACAAAAATACCACAACTGTTATTCGCTTGCATTTGGCAGAGCTGCAATTAAGAGACACCTCAGGCGCGTGATTGGTGTTGTAGTCACCTCCTCACTAACGGCCGTCTCACAGTTCAAACTCAGCCTGTTACAACTAAGTCTAGATGCAACACCTGATGAACCTATTTCGTTGCTTTTTTTCTTTTGCTCATCGTCGTTCGCCTCCCCCTTTTTTTGTCATTCAGAAGTTGCCAGTTTTCCGCACTTGCATGCAAATATACCTTCATGCAGCATGAAGGAGAAAACACGATTTCTTCCCCCCATTTGCAGGTTTCAACTGGCTAAACTTGGCAAAGCTGCCCATTGCTGCAGGCCCTGCACGGTGCGCAGACCCCTCTGGAAGGGGAAGTGCTTCTTCGCCGTTATGCACATGTTTTGTATGCAATGTTGGGCTTGCTTTGCGTTATGGTATGAACGTGTTATACATGTTCTTGTCACCGGTTGAGGTGCACTATGCTCAGTTGAAGCCCCGCAACGCTCAGGCGATACAAGGAACGCAAGAAGGAGAAACAGAAAACGCCATTGTATTCAGTAGTGTGACGTTGTTCCTTTCTCCGTCCTCTGTTTGTCCTTTTGGCNAACAGAAAACGCCATTGTATTCAGTAGTGTGACGTTGTTCCTTTCTCCGTCCTCTGTTTGTCCTTTTGGCAGTCATTGGGCATGCAAATAGGAATTTACAGAGCGTGTGTCACATGGCACTCAGCCTAACTAGTAGGTTACAGATGTTCAAATAATTACCATCATTATTTATCACGTCAATTCCAGTTTAAGGCGCAAGTCGCATCCACTGCAGGGAGTGTGTTTAAAACAAATAAATTCGGAGTTCTCAAGATCTGTCGTTCGAAATGTCTATCCTGCATTGCTGGTTCCGCCTATCCTTTAAGCTGACCACGATGGCCCTAGGTTTCCTCTATCCTTATGTTGGGACCCAGCCTAGATGTGCCTTTACGCCCTTGCACTCCATTTCAGCGAAACGTGAAAAGCGGATGGCTTTTCCGGGTTCGCAGAGATGGAAAGCAAGGACATAAAATGAAATACTTGTTTGCAAGTGTCCATCTGTTCTTCTTTGTGTATTTGCGTCCAACTACAAGCGTGCAAAAAATGGTCTCTGGCGCTGTCGTTGTTAAACGGAGAAACTTCAAAACAATGCACAAGGCCCTCACTTTATAGTTCTCCCAAATCAACCCTTCCCCAATACGGGGGTGCTTCCGTCTATATTCAGGCTCGTCCCCGGAGCGAGTCATGCAGAATGGTCCACGACAACCAGATTACAACTGGGATTATTACACTCCGCAAGATAATAAGATTTGTCTATCTAACGCTATGGACAATGCAGAAAACGGGTTTTCGAGTACTTCGCGTGCACCCGCCCTCCCTGTGTTCTTCATTTGAACAGGAAACAGCAGTGTCCATACCGCCTAGCTAAAGCTAAAGAGGAGCAGGCGAAAAACCTGCAGCAGGAATAGTAGAAAAAAAGCAGCAGTTGCTGCAACAAGCAAGACGCACGTC